ATATGTTCACCAAACAGTCATGAGAGACATCCATCAATATATTCATGATAAAGACTAGATAATGGAGTTCAAAAACAAGTAATAGGGAAAACCACCCTTTCAATCTTTTGATACAAGTGAAACAGAATCATGCACCATCTTCAAGTGATTATTATCTACAAGAACTGAAGAATAATACTCACCTCTTCCAAAGAAGCATTACCAGCTCTCTCTTCGATTCCATTTATTGTTACATCTACTTGTGTCGCACCTGAAGAAATTCCCTAGAATCTTCCACAAACGTCAGCATATTACAGTTGATCATAGGTAAACTAAAAAAATAACTATTGTATATACCTCTATAGTATTGGCAACAACCAGTCCTAGATCATTATTGGCAATGGATAGCACAAACGACATTCTCAAGGCCAGGAGTGTTGGCTTTTATGTCAGCAACGAGTTGTCCAAACTCACGAGGCAAACAATAGCCAACGGTATCAGCGACGTCAATAGTCATTGCACCTGCTTTGATAACCTCGCTCAGGATCTCGTATAAGAATTCTCTATCCTATCTGTTAACAATCATATATGATACACGATTCCATGGTTAACAAACTCTATCAGGATTGACCATCAGGTCACATATAAATTACTTTTCACAATAACTTATATTTAAAAAAAGTACTTCAAAAAAAGGAATTACATATGAGAGTTCTTTGTTGAACATGTTGATCCACGGTCATCACTTTGAGGTTGCTCAAGTAATTGAGTTACTGATAAACCTCCTTTGAGGTTCACCTATAGAAGAGGAAGTTAATTGAGTCTGTTTAGTCTTTGCTGTAGACACGAATAAGAGGGAGGGGTAGATTGGTAATTATGTTTTGCTTAAATAGGAAGCTGTTAGTCATAGTCAGTATTTTGTTTTCACTTTCTGATGAGTTCTGTTGAGAGCGTAAGCTCAGGGAGAGATGCCCAGACCTCTCGAAAGTCTGGGAAGCGTATCAATTCTGTATCGATAAAGATTGGCCGACAATTTCAATCTTATTCATTCCAAATACGAAATTCTAGCTATTGTAATTCTGTTTTTGTTTGTAATCGTTTACGAATCTAGCCAGTGGGTGCGTTTATGTTTACGATTTGGGCTAGGGTATAACAAATTGGTATCAGAGCTCGTTACGATTAGGGATGGCGAATGTCACGACTCGAAGTGTTAACAATCGAATTGAAGATTTGGAGAGTAGTGTAGGATCAATCGAAAGAAACCTGGAGCGTATTGTACAACAAATCGAAGATTTGAGGAACGATTTTGTAAATTGAACGAACACGTCCAATTCATCCGATGAAGAAACAGCTGCAAGAGGGGAACAAAGAGACATAAATCGAAATAATCAGAATCAATTTTCGGCGGTGAAGGGGCGCAAATTAGAGATCTCTGTTTTCGATGGCAGAGATCCCGTCGGATGGATTTTGAGAGCTGAGCGTTATTTCATGTTGAATCAGTTGAGTCAAGAAGAGAAAATTGACGTGTCGTTTATTTCTTTTGAAGGAGATGCACTAAAGTGGTTCCAGTGGGAGCATAAGCGACACCCTATTACAAGATGGGAGGATCTGAAACATTTGTTGTTAAGACAATTTAGGTCGTTGACAGCAGGTTCGTTGTGTGAACAGTTTCTATCGGTGAGACAAGAAGGATCARTTGAAGATTATAGAAGGAGATTTGTCGAGTTTGCGGCACCGTTAGACGGAATTCCAGAACAGATTTTCTTAAGTCAATTCATTAATGGATTGGAAGAATCTATTAAAGTGGAATTAAGATTCTTGGATCCGTTGACACTTAGCGAAGCAGTGGAGGTAGCCATGAAGATCGAATTAAAAAACAAGGTGTTATCGAGAGAGGAGTATGAGGGATATGGCAAGAAGACAGGTTCGTTTTTTTATTCTAATTCGGAGTCAAAAAGCAATTTTTCTAATCATGGCTCTAATAGCGTCGTTAGTTCTGTTAATTCGCCGTCATTTACAAATAAAGCAAGTACCGGTTTCCGATGTCTGTCTGATCAAGAGGTACAACAAAGAAGATCATTGGGTTTGTGTTATCTATGTGATGAAAAATACGTCCCTGGCCATAAGTGTAAGAAGAAGGAGATGAGTGTATTGCTAGTTCAAGAGGATGTTTTTGATGATACGGCAGCGGAAACGGAGGAAAGAGCTCGCAATGCAGCTGAAGTTACTGAAAAAGTAGAGGTACATTTAAATTCAGTTGTGGGTTTGACTAATCCTAAAAGTATGAAATTGGAAGGAAGGATTGAAGGACAAAAGGTGGTAGTGTTAATTGATAGTGAGGCCACACATAACTTCATATCATTCGATTTAGTGAAAAGACTGAATTTAAAAGTAGAAGCTACTGGTGAATATACTATTACTTTGGGTTCTGGAAACATGGAGAAAGGAAGTGGTATTTGCAAGGGGATAACATTATTTTTACCAGAAGTTGAGATAAGTGAAGATTTTCTGCCTTTGGGTTTGGGTAATAGTGACGTAATCTTAGGGATGCAATGGCTGGAGTCTTTGGGAGCTACATATGTTGATTGGAAGTTACAAGTGATGAAATTCACTTGTGGGGGAAAATCCGTTACGTTAAAGGGTGATCCATCTCTGGGACGTTCGATGTGTCGCTAAAAGCTATCGGAAAGGTGATCAACCATGAAGGACAGGGCGTGTTGGTGGAATTGGGTACTTTTTCAGTATTTTCGGAGGAAATGACAGAACCAAATATTGTTTTAGATTCACTACTAAGAAAATATGAATCAGTTACTAACAGGCCACCAGGATTACCACCGGAAAGGGGTAGGGAGCATGGGATTATGTTAAAGGAAGTGACTGAAACGATTAATGTTCGGCCATACCGTTACCTTCGTTATCAGAAAGATGAAATTGAGAAATTGGTAAAAGAGATGCTTGAGGCAGGAGTTATTCAACCGAGTATGGGTCCTTTCTCCAGTCCGGTATTGTTGTCAGATTTTGAAGCTTTCTGGGAGAATCTTGAGGCACTTCTTCAACAATTTCTTAGTTGTCACCTTGAGGACAAGGTGAATTTTTTGGGGGGGAGTATTGATAAACCTCCTTTGAGGTTCACTTATAGAAGAGGAAGTTAATTGAGTYTRTTTAGTCTTTGYTGTAGACACGAATAAGAGGGAGGGGTAGATTGGTAATTCTGTTTTGCTTAAATAGGAAGCTGTTAGTCATAGTCAGTATTCTGTTTTCACTTTCTGGTGAGTTCTGTTGAGAGCGTAAGCTCAGGGAGAGATGCCCAGACTTCTCGAAAGTCTGGGAAGCGTATCAATTTTATATCGATAAAGATTGGCCAACAATTTCAATCTTATTCGTTCCAAATAAGAAATTCTAGCTACTGTAATTCTATTTCTGTTTGTAATCGTTTACGAATTTAGCCAGTGGGTGCGTTTGTGTTTACGATTTGGGCTAGGGTATAACAGTTTCCTCCCCCACTTCCCTATGACTAGACCCCTCACCTCTCTCTATTTTGTTTTCCCTCTCATCACTATGAGGTTGCTCAAGTAATTGAGTTTCCTCCCCCACTCCCCTATGACTAGACCCATCACCTCTCTTTCTCTCTGGTTGGTCTTTTTGAGTTGGGTTTATAGGTATAGATAAACCCATTTAAGCACAATATTTAATTAAAATCTCACGGTAATCAACATAAGTTCTCAGTGTTGGAGTCAGTACCTTATGTCTTTGAAATTCAGAATATGGAGTTGATGGCCTTAGAGAATCCAAGTAATATAACGGGGCAGTAGGCTCTCCGATTCTTTTGTCTATCAAATCATCCTCTTGTAAGATATTCTAAATCACCATAAGCTAGAATCTTTGATATGGAATGTAGTTGTTTTCAACAACAAGATATTCTATGATGTTTTCCCATAATAAGAACCCATAGTCATAGTGTTTGTACCTAGCAATGCCAATAAAAATTGACAACAATCTGAAGTTTCCTTCATTTTGGCCTCTAGTCTTGCCAATTAAACATCTATTAACAATGGAGAATAAATGGTATCAAACTTGTGGCATATTCTTTCTTCTAAACTTAATCAAGTTAGTTAGATTGCCCAAGTATCCCAAATTCATGTAACCTGTGTAGAGGTAAGTTCTTCATCAAAGTCAGTTTTGTGAGCAACATCATCTTTCTTAGGTAACCGTAACCCAATGATATTTCATAAATCTTTAGAGTTGTATTGCCAATGAGTATTCAATCTTGGATATTCTTAAGTGTCCAAAGCCTTCAGAGTATTCAATAAACACCAACAGACGATAGAAGAAACTATTCATGTCATCTTTGACAAATCTCAATCAGCTAATCTAAACCCATCATAAATTATGATGAAGAATTAGAAAACTGGATGTTTTCTCATTATGGACAACCTGTAGCTTCCTTCAGCGTTCCTCTCAATACTGAACCCCCAGAAGTTGAAGATGATCCATTAATCATTCCAGTTGCAGCTAATTACACTAACGTGTCTTCTTTAGAGATCGCTTTGTACCCATTAGCTGTGTTCCACCTTCTACTTCAAACACTGATCACTCAGTGAATGAAATGCCTTCAACATCTGAAACTATATCAATCACTGAATCTGAGGCTACTTTAGCAATTGTTCCAATCGCTAAAAAAAATGCAGTAGAAGCCTCATCCTCTGTTCCTGAACATCTATGCTCAAATGATAATCCTCTACCAGCTCAGCGATGGACTAAAGACCATCCAATTCATCAAATTCTTGGTAATCCAAGTGCATGTATTCAGACTCGTGGTGGTCTAGGTAATATCTGTCTCTTTGTCAAGTTTTCTTTCTCTTGTTGAGCCCAAGAAGATCAATGATGCTATCTCAGACCCTAGCTGGGTCATTGCCATGTAAGAGGAGCTCATTGAGTTTGATAGGAACAAAGTTTGGTACCATGTCCCACGTCCATCTGACAAGATAGTGATAGGCACCTGTTAGACCCCATAATTCACATTTGTAAAAGTAATAAAGAACAACAAGTGATAAAGAACCAGAAGGCTGATGGAAGAGATCAAGGCAAAACAACTAAGTCCTCAATACAACCAGAGGGTCGATGAATCGACCAGAAATGCGATGGATCAAACATCTTCATAACCCCTCTGGTTACCAACACTTGGAGTTTTCTACAATAGTTCAACCAGAGGCATGTGATGACGATATCAAGATAAGGTTGAATAACACCCCATGGAAGACAGCTGGAGATGAAGAATCGACAGTTGGATTCTACAAAGTTTTATCTTGTTTTTCATGTCTAGATAAGCTTTATCTTTCCCTAGAAGATTTGCAAGATAGTCTCTCTAGATAGTTATCTTCTTGTTTAGCTTTCTAGTATAAATAGGTGTTAGGCTTATTGTAATCAGAGAACACTTTTCATTATCAATTTGGAATAAAGTGAATATTCCGGCACTCAAGTATATTCTTTGAATATTCATATTTTGTTCTTGAGTGTTCGTCATTTTATTCATTCACACGACATAATTAAGTTATTCTTAATTTAATTATTAGTGTTATTAAGAGATCTGGGATCAACAATTGGTATTAGAGCCAATTGATTGTTCTTCAATTAAAACAATCATAAAAAAACTCTCAATTTACTTTTTCATTAATTCTAGAGTTCATAAAAATCTTCTCTAAAAAGCGTAATTTTTCTCTTCCAAATCTTCATTGGCCAACTGGAATTCTGCTTATAGTGTTGGTTCTCTCACCATGTCTCCAACTCTTCAAAGAGAAGAGTATCCACAATGGAGAATAAAAATGGTGAATTTTCTGGAGCGGATGGACAAAAATCTCCTCAGATCTATCATGGAGGGTCCCTACATACCACAGACTCTTGTACCAAGAGTCCCAGGAATGAGCACCACAACAGAAATACCAGCTTACTACATGCACAAGGACGAGAAGAATTGGGATGAAGATGATATGGAGCGCGTAGAGACTGATAAAAAGGCCAAAAATTTAATTATCATCGCCATGCCCAATGAAATCTTCCAATCCATCGATGCATGCACCACAACAAAGGAACAATGGGATGAGCTGGCAAGTCAATTAGAAGGAGGAGCAAAAACAAAGAAAAATCGTAGAGCTCAATGTCTCAACAAGTATACCAACTTCAAGGCTCTTCCTGATGAACCGATTCAGAAGAAGTACGATCGTTTCAACACATTGATCAATCAATGTTGACGAAACGACATCTCCAAGACAAAGGAAGAAAATAATGTGTTATTTCTTAAGAGTCTCGGTGATGAATGGACTCAGCTATCTATGTCCCTCCAAGAAAATCAGGACTTAGATAGCTGGTCACTTCATGACGTCTATGGAACACTTGCTGCACAAGAAAATGATATAATGAAGAGAAAAGTATCCATCGGTGGACCCCTTGCTCTTGCTGTAGAAGAAAAGGATGTTTCAAGGACCTCTACCAGAGACCACAAGAAAAAAGGCAAGAAGGCACTGGTAGTAGAATCAGAATCGAAAGACGAGACATTAGAGTCAGATGATGATCTCAAAGCCTTTGCCAAGTCTCTGGCCTTGATCACAAAATAGTTCCAGAGGAAGTTCATCAAAATGCCATATGAGCGAAGAGACTCCAGAAGGGAGAAGTACCAGCCATCCTATGAAAAGAAGCCGTCAAAGTTCTATCAGGGTAGTGGGTGTTCAGCGATAGCGACGCTGATATTCACACCTTCAGTAATTTGGGTCACTGAGGTGGTTGGGTGAGGAGCCACTGGTACGACAGTGATTTCAGATATCACTGCAGAGCTGGGATGGTTGATTGAAATTTCCTCGAAGGTAAGGCTTCTTTCAATAGTTGAGACCTTTTGAGAGGTCACAGCTAGAGACGTGGTTGTCCCCTTATTGGCCTTCTTGGCCCTCGAAGGAGAACCAAGAGTTGGTTGAGATGGGCATTTGGAAGAAATGGTTGTGGTGGTTGGGTTAGACTTGGGGGGGGGGGGTTTCCCTTGTCTTGACCACCTTAAAGGGAGAAGAAGAAGGAGGAATTGAAGAGTATTGCACCACTAAAGAGAGTGCAACATCTCCATCCCTTAACTTGTGATCCAGAATCCTGGATCCAAGCTTGCAGACAGGAAGGTTACCTTCCTTGGAGTATTTGTCGCCAAAGATCTTTGCGAATACCATAGATAGAAAGCGGGTGTAGGGAACCACTTTCTCCCTCTGATGCTTGTTCAACTTAAGCACCAGGTCGTCGAAGATCACTGTGGCGAAGTTGATCAGTCGGCAAAGGATGACTGAAACGCCGATTGTGAAAGCAACCCTGAATGTTTGATCCTGACCACCAGTCTTTACACCCATGCTCTGGATGAATTGAGAGAACAGAAATTGTGATACCACTGACATGTGGTTCTTCTCAATTTTGGAGAGCGATTTGAGGGGTTCGCTGGAGTCCTTCTTCATTTTCCATTGCTAGCCAATGTCATCGAGGCAAGCGATGAAATTTTCAGTAGTAGGATCACTAGCGAATGGACCCTAGGGAAAACGAAGAGTGTGCCTAAGAGTGGTCACGTCAAAGCTTACGGTCATCCTGTTGAAAGTGAAGGAGATTTTCTCCACCTGTTGACCATTCTTGTGATCTTTTTGCACCACTTCAGCAGTCATCCAGGATTGCTGAAGGGCCTTCCTAACCATGACAAATTCATGGTTGAGAGCGTAGGAGATGGGGGACATCCTAAGTTAGGCACCAGTGTCCTCGTAAATCTTTTTGTTGGTAGGGATATCCAACAAGGCAATGTGATTGTTGGCCTTGAAGGAAACGTCTTCCACGAAGAAGTTCACGTTCTTGGCAGCTATTTTTTATTATAGTTAAGAGATAACAGGTTATATTAGTAGTCCAAGATTTGATTGTATTTTTTTTTTATGTTTTAGAACAATAAAACTTCTTTTGGAAAATCCACAAATAAGATATTAGGGTTTTCCAAGCAGAAAAGTGTTTTTGAAACATTAGATTATAACTAAGAATGAGAATGTGTTACTAATCTTTCTGTTTGTATTTTAAGAGAACAAGGTTCTTAAAATCTCAAACAATAATTTCATAAGAAGAAGAAAAACAGTTCCAAGTTTTAAGAAAGTTATCGACCTTAGAGTTTTAGAGAAGAAGGTTGAAGGATTCAAGCGTTCTTTGACAGTTCCTGCTTGCAATTTCTTTTGGGCAGAGGTTCGTCAAAAGATTTTGAAAGCGTAAGAAAATATGAGGGAAGAGATCTCATATTTATAGGTAGGAGGAGAGAGAAAAATACGACTGTTGAGGAAATGTCATGATGAAAAATATGACACGTTCTCATCCATGATTGGATGGAAGTTATAGCAGGTCGCGTATGTCAGACCTTTTTGTGCGTCTCAAAGCGATTCGTATTGGTAAAAGAGAATGTTTTTAAGACGGTTCATTAACTATTTCTTTTTAAAACGAAAAGGTTTTAAGAAATTCGAAGAGTCACATTCAGTGATAAAAGAATCAATGAATAACAAACCTTTTAAAACATTTTGATCACTTAAAAAGAAAAGCTTCTATGATGGTTTTGTTTTAAGAAAAAAATATCTTAGAAGAATATATTTTCACAAAAAGTGTCAGTGATAAAAGAATCACTGAAACTGACTTTTAAAAACATTTGAATCATTGAAGATAGAAAGGTTCAGTGATCATTTTGATTTAAAGAAAAGATTAGTATAGAAGAAATATACTTTCTTAAATATGTTCAGCGATAGAAGGAATCACTGAAACAAACTTTTAAAACGTTTTGAAC